TCGCAGAAAACTTAAAATCTAAACCTCGTCATTAAAGTACGAGTCATTTACAGCATATAAAGTGAATCGCAGCGCAAAATCACAGGCTTAAAGGGCACACTGGGTACAAAAAGGCGTAAATACTTTACAACGTGGGATTCTAACTAAATTAGATACAAATAAATTCACTTTAATTACGTTACCAAGTATCCAAGAGTCTCACTCCATGTTCAGCAATTGCTCACGAAGAGCCAGGGCTTGGCTCATGTATATAGCAAGACGCTTCAATTGTTTAGGATCTTTGATGTTCAAACTGGAGTGTAAATGCTCAAAGTTAAATTCATCGGCAGGATGATTCACAAAAGACGTTCTTCTCAGATCATAAAGAAAGAGGCATCTTGCTATACCCTGGCGATCAACTAGCCCGGTTGTTACGGGGCACCAACCGGGCACCAACCGGGCAATCATTTTCGGGGTTAAAAAGGGGTAAATGACACCCAAAAACAATGTAACAGTTGATAGATTAATTATTTGTTAACATTTCCACCGTTATTTGCATTGTTATTCATTAATTAAATAAAAATATATTGTTGGTGTATTGTACGGCTATATAGGCTTATAGGGAAAATGCCGCGAGGTGGCGACAGTATCAACTTCCCGTCTAGGTCTGTCAAGTTGACGACAGTGGCGGGAGAAATTGAAAGTGGAAAATGCATGTTGTGCATTTTGCAAATGCATTACCTTTCTTGCAATTTGAAAAATTTGATTACCCATTTTAGCACATGGTTTTTTTTCTTAATGAATAAAGGAGGCGGCGGAGGGGGGGGGGGAATTTGTAAATTAGTAATCAAACTATTTTCCGCATTGTTTTTTTTAATGAATAAAAGTGGAGGGGGGGAATTTTTTAATTGGTAACGTACCCATTCAGCTCCATTCTTTTCTTAAAAATTAATATAAGTGGAGTGGGTGGGGAATCTTGTAAATTTGTAACGGGCCCATTTAGCCCGTTAGCTTTTTTTTTAATGAATAAAAGTGGAGAGGGGCAATTTTTTAATTTGGAACGCACCCATTTTGCTCCATTGTTTTTTTCTTAATGAGTGGGGGGAGGGGGGGAGGGATTTTGTAAATTTGTAACGTGCCCATTTTGCCCAATTGTTATTTTTTTCTTAGTGAATAAAGGTGGGCGGAGTTGGGGAATGCTGTAAATTAGTGAACATTACCATTTTGCCCCATTGTTTTTTTCCCTTCATAAAATAAGGGGGGGGGGAATTTTGTAAACTTGAAACGTACTCATTTTGCCCCCTTATGTTTTTTAATGAATAAAATTGGAAGGGGGAAATTTTTTAATTTGTAACGTACTCATTTTGCCCCGTTGTTTTTTTTTAATTAATAAAAGTGGAGGGAGGGGGAATTTTGTAAATTCGTAACGTATTCATTTTGCGCCGTTATTTTATTTTCCTTAATGAAATAAGGAGGGGTGGGGATTTTATAAATTAGCAACGTAACCCATGTTTTGCCCCATTGTTTTGTTCTTTTTTAATGAATAAAGGGGGGGGGGGATTTTATAAAATTGTAACGGGCTCATTTTGCCCCATCGTTCTTTTTCAATGAATAAAAGTGGAAGGAGGGGGAAAATTTGGAAACTTGGACCGTACTCCTTTTGCCCCATTGTTTTTTTCTGAATGAAAAGGGGGAGGGGCATTTTGTAAATTTGTAACGTGCCCATTTTGCCCCGCTGTTTTTTTTTTTAATGAATAAAGGTGGAGGGGAGGCGGAAATTTTGTAAATTAGGGACGCTCCCATTTTGCTCCATTTTTTTTTCTCAATGAATGACGGTGAGGGGGTGGGGAAATCCCATAAATTAGTAACAAAACCATTTTATACTCAAATAATTCAGACTCCACTAAAACGTCGAGATATAAAATTCCCCGAGAAAGTGTTTTTCGAACTTTTTGGGTCAAATTTTGAATTTTCAAATTCTTTTCATAAAATGAAGAAAAAAGATATCGAAAAGTCATACTCAAATGACTCAGAATCAACTAAAGCGTCGAGGTATAGTATTCCCTGAGAAAGTGTTTTTACATACTTTTTGGTCTCAATTTTGAATTTTCAAATTCCTTTCGAATAATGAAAAAAAAAAGGTCTCGGAAAGTTATACTATAATGACTCAGAATCAACTGAAACGTCGAGATATAGTATTCCTTGAAAAAGCGCTTTTTTGAACTTTTTGTGTCAAATTTTGAATTTTCAAATTCGTTTCAAAAAATGATGAAAAAACGTCTCTGAAAGTTATACTCAAATGACTCGGAATCAACTGAAACGTAGAGATATAGTATTCCCTGAGAAAGTATTTTTCGAACTTTTTGGATCAAATTTTGAATTTTCAGATTCCTTTCAAAAAAGGGAAAAAAAGATCTCCGAACGTTATACTCAAATAACTCAGAATCAACTGAAACGTGAAGATATAGTATTCCCTGAGAAAGTGTTTTTCGAACTTTTTGGGTCAAATTTTAAATTTTCAAATTTCTTTCGACATATGAAAAAAAAAACGACTCAGAAATTTATACTCAAATGACTCAGAATCAATTGAAATCTTGAGATATCGTATTCCCTGAGAAAGTATTTTTCGACCTTTTTGGGTCCAATTTTGAATTTTCAAATTCCTTTCAAAATATGAAAAAAAAACGTTTTGGAAAGGTTTACTGAAATGACTCAGAATTAACTGAAACGTGGAGATATACAATTTTCTGAGAAAGTGTTTTTTGAACTTTGTGGGTCAAATTTTGAATTTTCAAATTCCTCTCAAAAAATGAAAAAAAAAACGTCTTGGACAGATATACTCAAATGACTCAGAATGAATCGAAACGTTAAGATATAGTATTCCCTGTGAAAGTGTTTTTCGAACTTTTTGGGTCAAATTTTTGCATTTCCAAATTTCCTTTGCAACGTTAAAAATAAATGTCTCGTTAAGCTATACCCAGGTGACTCAGCGTTATCTGAAACGTGGAGATTCATAATTCCCTGAAAAAGTGTTTTTTCAAACTGTTTGGTCGTAATTTGGAATTTTGAAATTCCATTGAAAAAGTCACTCGAAAAACTAGAATTCTGCTTTGGCCTGTTATTAGTCTCACTCAGTCTACAATTTGAACTTAAACCTTTGACCTTTTTTTACATGTATTACAATTGTAGTTCCTAAATTTACAGTCGAACTTAGAATGACCTACCTTGCCACGACATGAGCAAGTTCTGTTATTAAAACCTTGTTTCTGATGTTGTACATAGTTCAATGATCCAGTAGATTTCGATGTACCCATCTCTCCAGGACCTCGCGGAGCAGCTTCATCTCCAATAGCCACTTCCAGAGCTCGTTCGTACGTTAGATTCTTCTCAGTCAGTAGTTTCTTCTTTGTGTTTTTGTTGCGTAAACCGCAGACAAAAGGGTCACGAACTGCATCCTTTAGTTCTGCTCCAAATTCACAATGTGTAGAAAGATGTTTCAGTGCGGCCACATAGTCGCTTACTGATTGGCCCTCCACTTGGTCGTATATATCAAATTTATACCTCTCAGTAATAACACTGGGTTTCGGTTTAAGGTGATCCGTCATTAACTTAACCAACTCAGTATAGTGTAGAGTTCCGGGTAGGTTAGGAGCATACAGGCTGCAGAGAAGTGCATAACCTTTTGAACCAAGTAAATTCAGAAATAACTCCTTACGTCTCTCATCAGCAATAGCCAGCAATATAATGCTCAAAACGCTGCAGCCACTGGGCCCAATCTGATTTTTTTTGGTAACCCTCAATTGCTCCTATACTCGTAGTCGTACAGGCCCCTTGTTGTCCAACTGCAAACCGACTCTCGACCACTCTCTGAAGCTCCCTGATTGTCTTAGGTTGCTCTTGGATCTTTTCATCCAGCTCCTTAATATAAGTATCTTTCTCTTGGATAGATGAACAGGCTGATAGTTGGTAAGATTTCCATTGTTGTTCTTTATTATTGAAAAGGACTTTCAAGTCCTCGTATTTTTTCTGCCATTCATCCATGGCCAATAATAGTTATAAACCACGAGGCACACGACGCTCAATAGGACCAGTCAAATTTTTCATAAGAAATGTCACAAAATCAAAAAAATTCTTTAATCCTCGTCGCCAATGAAATGTTTGGAGTAGACTGGATATTGGTAGGTCGAAATAAGAGTGATTGCAGAGTAATTAATGGATTAGAAACTTATATCACAGAGAGGTACACTTGGCAGCCATTGTCAGGTCGAAAAGTGGCTTAGTCGATACAGTAGGAAACGGTTATATGTTCGTAGGGTCTATATACATTACAGAGATATCATTAGATTCATAACTCATTGAAGTAGCCATGAACAGTAATCTATCAAATTCCGTCGATTTCAAAGAGAACATTCAACGGGAAATATAATTATATATTTTTTGGAGGAAATCGAATGGTTCATGACACAGGTATTTTGGAATGATCTATTGCTTTGAACGATATCTCTGGAACAGTATGTGCATGGGGGATGAGAAAAACAACCTGTAATCACACAAAAATTTCAAATAGAAATCTAAATTATCGAGAAATTTAGCGAATTGAAATTGATTCGTCATCCCACAGAAAATCGATATTCGAACAAACGAGAATTTGATTTCCAATTCGTAGCGTTTATCGATAACTCAGATTTCTCTTCACTACTTCGTTGTGATTATATTTTTTTCTCTTTTCTCATATATCAATCAATTTTTTTTCCATTAACTCTACCAGAATTAAGTCTACATTGACCTGCGAATAGTTCCTTTATTAAATACATTTCTAAATTTATACAAAAATATCTCGAAAAAATATCACAGAAAAAAATATCACAGTAAGAGACAATCGCAGAAAAAATTACACAATGTATATGACAGCAGGAGCTAATTCTCTGCCTAATTCTCTCCTTTTCTGTCTTTTTTTTCATTCTATCGGTCTCCATCTATGACCAAACATCGAAAAAGAGTTGTGTAGATTTCTAATGGAAGCGGACGGTCACAGAATGCCCACCACTGCGTCCACCCCATCCCCCGCGACCCCCGCGCCATGCTCGTCCTCCACGTCCACCGCGCCATAATCGGCATTTGTTACCAGCATTGGTGCCTCGATCTATGGACATCCGGGATTTATTATGAGACTCATTACCAATAGTTTTGTTACGTGAGTTATTAATGTTCTTACTCAAGTTTTCCAAAATCACATTGTCCATTAATTCACTCAGTTTTTATTGCAAAATATATATGTAGATATGCATAAGAAATAGATTCACTTACTGTGATTGCAACTACGTTGTTGGTCCTGAATAAATGTACGCAACATGGTGATGAACTCCTCAGGAGTGCGTGGACGCCTCGCCATGATAGCCTGCAGTAATTCTCGTTGCAGTTGTTGTTGTTATTGCTGCTCTTGTTGATGGAGGAGTAAAACGAAATTCTCAATCGCCTGTCCTGCTCCTCCACCCTGCAGTCTCTCAACCTCCTCTCCATCTCCTCCTAAGTTGAGAGGATTTGGATTCTGGGGTTAAGAATCCATAGGAGCTTGGCTTTCATTTTGGATACCCAGAAACCTCTGCATTCGATCCAGGAGATCTGTTCAGAAAAAAAAACGGAAAACGGATAATAAATTATGAACGTAACATTGCAGCTCACTTATGACATTTTCAAATTTTCTTTTTCTTTTATATTATATGCAATTCTCAATGGGCGCGATGATCACAAAGGTTTTTCCTAGAATTTTGTCAGTATTGAACGTCTGAGTGGAAATAAGCGTATCAAGGAATCAAATAATAATACCCATAGGAATGTAAACATTGGCTCTCTCAGTGGCTTTCAACCGTATTCTTTCACTCATAATCAGTTCAATCCCGCAGGTATGTCTCCCAATGCTAGGACCTTAGCGAATCTCAATTACACCTCTCGTTTTTCCTCTTATCCCCTAATTTCGTTAATCAATTCCAGTTTTGTTTCCGTAATATTTTTTTTCCCTCCTTTTCAGCCCATGAGTCTCGTAAGTCCATCAATAATGGTGTTCATTGAGACGAATAAATTCACTCACGAAAAAATGTGAAACATATTAATCATGTCATAATGTTGCTTACCGTTTGAGACAGGCCTCTTTTTATGGGATAAATATTTCACACTCGACAGGATTCGACTATAGAAAATGTAAATGAACAATGAGAAAGGCCTGGGTCAAGGGCTGTCAGGGCTCTGATGAATCCTTTTAGTTAAATAAATTCTTTCAGCAATAATTACAAACTTGGGCGCCAGTTAATTTAACGACAATTAACAACGGTAGATTCGACTCAACTCAGGGAGTGGAAAGTTGGAAGACCCAGAATAGGATAAATTCGATGGAGAGAGAGAAAGGAGAAATAGACAGGAATAATGCAATGAATGTTACTCACGGTATTTGTCGACAATCTAGGTTATATTCTACCAAAAAACTCCTCGGGAACCGACTCTTTCCACACACACCAATATTATTACAATAAAATAGTTAAATATTCGATTCGTAGACTCGACACAATACAAAAGCGACAATAAAGTTGTACACGTGTGTACTGCCGGGACAAGAGTGTTGAGAGGGCCCTAAGCAGCCTGTTGCTCGGCAGCTAATCAATAACTTGGCGCATGCGCCGTCAGTGTCGACTGGCTGTCCTGGCGCCTATTTCAGATGTGAGGTTGAAGTTTTCATCGTCGTGTCATTTTACCAAATAGATAATTATTTAAATAAATTTACCCTCCGACAATTTAACGAGGTTCCCAAGGATAAGGAAATAAAGCCGCCGTGAAGGGGAAATAATATCTCCTGTTGCACGTTGAAGTCCTGACCCATCTTCGTGTTTTTGAATGTTCCCGCTCTTAATTATGAGTTTTGTTTTGTGAATCTGGAATATAAGTGGTATTGTGTCATAAAAATTATTTCAGTAGAATCAAGTGAATTGAAATTTTCATTCGATTCATCCTGAAAATTCCATGTTTTCTACTTACTTTGAGCTCCTGTCGATCGAAGCAACGTTCGTATCAAACTGATAAATGTATATACATGGCATTACCGTCTCTCACCAAATTACATCCCATCCAGATATACTTACGACATCTAGATGATATTCTGTTTTATTGGTAATCAATCAAAATCACTGCACTATAGGTGTACTGGAACGGCCTCCCACCATTTACTCCCATAGTAAGGATACCGAGCCGAGAGAAGTCCCAAGTAGTCTCCCTGTCCTTTTCTCACTTCCACAATTGTATATATTTGTCTCTATTTCGGGAGGTATGATTTAATTTGTATCAACTATTCAGGTGCCAATCAAACACCAATCACATAGTGAGTGAGAAGGATGGAGAGACCACTTCTCATCCTCTCTCTCGGCTCGGTTTCTCACCCCAGAGGCCGTTCCAGTATATCTAGGGTTCAGTGATCAAAATCTAGGCTTCTGTAATGATTTGGGAACTCATCAATCAGCGGCGTTTTTATCGGTGTATGCATGGAGAGTTTCGCACTGTGTATATTCCCATTGGAGTTAATATGAGTGTACCCCGTTGAAATTTTCCGAAATTCCAGTGACAGGAGCATTTGAATCACAATGTTATTAATTTTTTTTTAAATTTTAATTCATTTCAATGTCACGGGTTCATCAAATTTCAAATGTACATTGGAAAATCAAAAAAAAATCGAGTTTTCCATCAATAATAATAGTAATAATATGTCGATAACAGATTGAATATTCAGAACAATACATGTATGAATTGTCACAACATTTATTGTCGTATGGACCTGAAAATTGGAATTACATTGAATATTATGTGATGTACGTGACGTAAAAATGTTTGGTGACACGATTTCTATTGAATGAACGGTGCAATTTGAATTGTTTCAATCGACGCATATCCATGCCACTTGAAACTAATTAGTTTGAGAAGAGGATCGACTCAGCGGTTCTGTAGTTATTTGCAAAAAAACATGTGAAAAAAGTCAAAAATGATTTTTTTTCGCAAATTCTCTCAAGAAACTTCTTTGTTCTCAAAAAATGATGCAATTTGAATTTTTTTAAAAATTAAATCGATGCATCTTTATGTAGAGCATAGCTGACTGAATTGAAAAAAAAATCGTCTCAGCAGTTATTCAGTTGATTTGAGAATGAAACTTCCAAATTTTTTTTATTCGAAAATTCTGGAATTAAAAATATTGAACATTCTGAAAATTGAAAAATTAAGTTGAAAACGCAGCATCGAATCAAATGAAAGATAAAAACCCTAGTGTTGTTTCCATTTCGAAAAAAGGCTATGATCAGAATAGTTTTTTCATCTTGCCATTGAAATTCTTTTCAGCCGATGAATATTTCGATTTCGGTTTTAATCTTTGAAATTCAGTCGTTGTTTTGGTTATTTCAATTATTGTTTTTTTTGGGTTTCTGGTTTTTCCTTGAAATCGCTCTGCCCAGCTTTGTGATGTTGTTTCATGTACCAAGGTCTTGATGAGACAAATTTCTAAATTTTCGAATTTCAAGCGGGATTCGATAGGGTCTACCCTATTGAATCTAATTCTCTTAGAATTCTTTAATGCCTAAAGGAGGTTAGGCGGTGTATGAGGTGAATTTGAGAGTGAATTTCTGTGGTTCCCGGTAGCTTAGTCGGTAAGAGTGCCCGGCGCGTATCAGGGAGACCCGGGTTCGATTCTCGGCTGGGTGAAGCGGAAATTTTTTCTCTCTAAATTCTAATTCTCTTAGAATTTTTAGAGTGTTGCTTTATCGAGAGAGCCTATTCTCTTTGCTTTAATCATATGCCATCTGTGGCCTATCCAGATGGATACGTATCAAGATTTTTAGATACCCAGATTATCATAGTAGTTTCGTCGCTGGGTCCGTTCCATCTCTATCGCGACTCTCTGATTGGTTAGTTAGTGTCACTGGGCTCCATACTGAGTTACGGATTGGTCAGTCCCGCAGCATTGAAATATGTGTTGTCGGAAACGAGGCATTTAGTGACTTTTGATGGTCTTTTCCACCATTAATCAGCTGTAATCTTTGCGGATCACAGTGTTTTCGTAGCTTTCAGAAGAATTATCATTTCTTCGATTAATAGCGAATTCTTTTTTTTTCATCAATCGATTTATTGTCTACCTAAGGCGACTAAAATTTTTCTATACAACCAAACGTCTGCCGAAGGCGACAGAAAACAAGTAGGGGTTCGAGCCTTTTTGGCCGAAGTCATCTGACCATTACTTTATATGTTACAACTCTGTTTCTTTCTTTTATTTCTACCAATTCCATTGGTAGTAAGCTTCCGACTGGATCTGTAGTAATTCTATTGAAGAAAGAAAAAAAAATCTAAACACCAAACAATGTCACTGGAAATAACTGCCTCCTGATGAAAAAACAGAAAAACGGAAATATCTCGAAAACTTTGTATGAACGGGTACATATGTTTCGATTGATTCGGATAGAAGGCATCGAAACAAATATTTGGAGAAAAAAAATTGAAATCGGTTGCGTAGTTTTTAAGCTAATGAACCTACCTGTGCGATTGAGCTTATTTTCAACAGGAGGGGTTGTTATCATGCCAGAAAAATTCTCTCCAAATTTCAAATTGATATCTCAATTTTTGCACAAGCTAGAGTGATTACAAGGATTTTTATGAAAAAACAGGAAAACGGAAATATCTCGAAAACTTTGTATGAACGGCCGTATATGTTTTGATTGATTCTAATGGAAGGCTTCAAAGCAAATATTTTGAAAACAAAAATTGAAATCGGTAGCGTAGTTTTTAAGATATTGCACATAAAAGGTGTTCAGAAAAAGTCAAATATCTCGGAAACTACTGATGCGATTGAGCTCATTTTCAATAGGAAGGATTGTTATCATGAGAGGAAGATTCTCTCCATATTTCAAGTTGATATTTCAATTTTAGTACAAGCTAGAGTGATTACAAGGATTTTTATGAAAAAACAGAAAACGGAAATATCTCGAAAACTTTGTATGAACGGGTATATATCTTTTGATTGATTCGGATAGAAGGCATCGAAACGAATATTTTGAAAAAAAAATTGAAATCGGTTGACTAGCTTCGAAGATATTAGCGAAAAACGATTTAAAAACGAATAGCCTTTTCTCAAAAACTATTTGATCAATCGGGTTGAACTTTTGCACAGAGTTAGTCTTTGTTAAGGTCTATAATCTGACAAAATTTTAGATTTTTTGAAATAAATTTAGCCAATTAATTACTCAATTTTCCAAAAATTGACCACCGGAAAGGTGGCGATGGACATTGACACCGACAGACATGGTCGCCAAACTTCGTATTTTTACATTTCAGACCATTCTACATCATTTCCAATCAAAAGTAGAGAATGTGAAAACAGCACGATTACAATGCTTCCATTCGGAAGCAAAACCAAGCAGGGGTTCGAGCCTTTTTGGTCGAAGCCATCTGACCGTTACTTTATGTGTTATAACTCTTTTTCTTTCTTTCATTTCTACCAATTCCATTGGTAGTAAGCTTCCGAATGGGATAGAGGGCATTCAAATAGAAGGCATCGAAACAAATATTTTGAAAAAAAAAATTGAAATCGGTTGCGTAGTTTTTAAGCTATGGCACATAAAAGGTTTTCAGAGAAAGTCGAATATCTGTGAAACTAACCATGCGATTGAGCTTATATTCCATAGGAAGGATTGTTATCATGAGAGGTCGTCAACAGACATGGTCGCCAAACTTCGTAATTTTACGTTTCAGGCCATTCTGCATCATTTCCAATTAAAATTAGAGAATGTGAAAATAGCACGATTACAATGCTTCCATTCGGAAGTAAAAATTAGTGAAATAAAAACACTTGTCTGCCGAAGGCGACGACAAATTAGTAAAATACAAAAACACTTGTCTGCCAAAGGCGACTAAGAATTTGGTATTGATTATTATTATTGATAATTGTCTGCCTGAAGCGACAAAGAACAATTGTAAATACAATAAACACAAAAATACAAAAATACAATTAATTGTCAGCCGACAAGCGAAGTTCACTCGCAAAAATGAAAACAAA